AATAAATAATATATATATATATATATATATATTATTATATATATATATATATATATATATATATATATATATATATATATATAGTAATAGTATTAACAAAATAGCATATAATGTATTATAATATAAATCCGCACTCGCGATCGCGACGTATGTTGGCGTCATTACCATGGAAACGAGGGTGTTGCCGACGTGTAAGTAGAATGCCACCAAGGTTCAAACATAACAGTTACTAACGAAAACGAGAAAAACACCGGAAATATCGGTGCCGAGCGGCGTCTGAACATCCACGGGACATGGCAGCTTTCGCGCCATGCGCGTTTTAATTAACATAACAGTTTTTTATATCGCTACAAGAAGTATAATGTGCGTGTATCGGATCGATAGAGACAGACACGTGCGTTGACACATCGAGCCAGGCGAGAAAACAAAAATCTACTCCAGATGAAAACTACGCAGTTTAGGGTTTCTAAAAACCTCACACTGAGATTCTCTACCACACCAGTGCATTTGCGCTCGTTCTCTCACTCACGGTATGTAGACGTTTGAAGGGGGCGGGGGCATGTACGGGGTATCCATGCACAGGCGGGCTAATCGGGTGGATATATGGGTATCACGCTCAATCTTTTGCACTAAACGGTGGGAGAATATTCGCAAAATAACAACTCCACATCGCAAAAAAACTACCACGGATTTGAAAACCATGCGGGGAAAAATATTCTAGAATCACCTACTCAAAACGAACACGCGCGACAAACCTTGGTTTCCGTCCCTTTTCCTAGAGGGCGCCACGAGGGCTCAAGTAGAAAATCAACTTGCATCTCACTGTCAGTCTTACTTGCTCAGATTTGTCTCCGTTTCACACAAAACTTTCAGAAAAATGCACAAAACCGGTAAAATCTCTGTCCATGGCGACAGCGCTAGCGCCTCCCTGAACAAATTCGACCTCAAAAATCGAAAACCTTTCAATGTACACTATAAAATAATAATTATAATAATATTATACTGAAAACAAAAAATCTGTAACGTTCCGCGGATCTAGAAAAACAGCCAGGAAAACGCTCTGTAAAAATTACTCTTGCGGATTTCAACCTGTTCGGCGAAATGCTATATATATATATCGAATATTGGTGTCTGACAAATAGGTACGAGATATGTAGGATATTTTCTGGGCCACTTAGCAACAAAAGACAAAATGGCTTCATCCAAATAGAAACATGCGGGCGTGTAGTACTCAACAGGCTGATATAATAACCATTTATGCTGGAAATAACGTGGTTTTAAAAGCATACGATTACCAATTACGTTCACGCAAATGTTTGTAGCATCATAATAAACCGATCGTTTTTAAACAGCTATAGACAAACTATTGCATACGTACGTGATAAGCATAGACTGGTCCTCACGATCTGAAATATATCAATGATGGCGTCGGTGTTGCGATATTTAAAAAAAAAGTTTGCGCTCCGCTTAATAAATCGCTAGTGAAGGCAAATGAAGAATAAATCGTGAGAAACTGGTGTCCGATTCACGGAAAACGGCGTATGTTCGCATGTTTGCATATACAGTATTAGATATTATGATGTATTATTATTATTATTGCTGTTATTATTATTATTATTATTATTATTATTATTATCGTTACTATTATGTACTCACTCATCAACATGTCCGTGTAGGCGTTGTCAGCGATGGAGAACAGATGTGGTGGCATCTCCGGACGACGCTTGCCACGGTATTCCTGCACGACCTCTTCGATGTAGATCGGCAGCCTCTTGTAGGGGTTGATCACGACGCAGAAGAGTCCAGAGTAAGTCTGCAGATGCGAATTTATATATTAGCTTCATGATGGCAGTCTATATAATATTCGCATCAAGAAGCTTGATGGATGGACGAGCTCTGAATTAAACAACCGCGTGTCAAACCAGACATGGCGGCAGCATTAGCGATGGCACCAGTTCGTAATTAATGAGCAGCGCTGTTTATCCACGAAGGTTCGATTGAATCATTATTATTAGCC